TTGAAACAGACCGCAATGGAGAGACCAGCGCCCAGGGAAGCGAGGGAGCAGCAGACTCCTTCCAGCAGCCCATCGCAATGTGAGTCTGGGACACAGAGGGGGGGTTCCGACAGCGGCATTGATTCGGGCTCAGTTCAGGGAGAACCGGGGGCTGTTTGTCAGAGGCCGAGCGGAGCAGGAACTGGTCCCGGAACTTGGAGTGAGCGGCCTGGGGTCGGCGAAGAGAGAGGCCTTTCTCGGGCTGAGTGTGGGCCTGCTGAGGGAGACACAGCGGCAAGAAGCTACTGGGGGTCGTTTTTGTGGTTTTTTCTCCACTAAACACTGATGGAAAATCATCGTTTAGCTTCTGTTTCACGCTGTTGTTGTTTGCGAATTGGCATTGAATCGTGGGAAAGAAAAGTCATTATATGCACATGTGATAGTTATGTAAGTGATAAATATAGCAGTAACCGGGCTAATAGTCTCAAGTAAAATATTCGAAAACGTGATCGTTGTCCTTCCCTTCAACAGTTAGTGAATTGGGAGCTGGCTATTGAACTGTGTAAGCGTTCCATTTATGAAGCTGTACAGGTGTTGGTTAGGTTTTTTTTTAATCTTTTGTGATTGTTATTTTTTGAATTTCGCAAAAAGAACGGGACGAGGAGGAGCTCAGAGTAATTATGTAACCAGATCCTGCTCTTTTCAAATTGCTGGCTTTAAAACAAGGAATCATCATTCACATTAACTAAATATTGCATCGATCAGTTTGATATTTTCAATCTCGGTTGATGTTGATTTACAGTAGATATCTCTTCTATTTCCGGGCACATATTTGATGGGCCAAGACAATGTAATATTTCCTCGGTACAACACCAAGTGTGACCAGCTGCTCTGCCAAACAGCAGGTCTGTTACCAATGTCAGAGCGGACAACATTTTTTCCACAGTCACAGCTGATTGAGCTCAATGCGAGTCTGATTCAATGTCCAGAGATATACAATCAATCCAAGGGTCAAACACCACCAACAAAATACAAATATATCTTTCTTTTCTCTATTCTCGATATAAACCAGCCTGGTTCCAGTAAAGTTCATCTTTGAAAGCCCATTGTCATTCACAACATTTGAAGAGGGATAGACTGAATCTTCTCCACAATTCAATAACTGTATGAATTCACATTAAGTAAGGGCATTTTCAAAGTTACAATCAAAGTATACAAATAGATCAACATTTTACATCATTACGATAACCATATATGGAGTAGATATTGAGTTCAGACATAGATGGAAACTTTT